TGTGTGTGTGTGTGTGTGTGTGTGTGTGTGTGTGTGTGTGTGTGTGTCAGAGCTGGTTGTGTGTGTGTGTGTGTGTGTGTGTGTGTGTGTGTGTGTGTAATATGCTAAGGAGTGTTTGAGGTCTCTCCTTGGCAATGAGCTGTGGCAGGAGGAATAAAGCTGCCTGCCCCTGCCTCCTGCATTGGTTCCTCTGTGGCTAACTGGATACAGCTTCTGGGGGGTGCCACGCTCATGAATGTGTGCTATTGTTCCAGGCACACGTCGGCCTTAAGAAATAGCACAAAACAAAACAGGCCCGTCCTTATTCAGATGCAGAGCCCCCTCCATCACTCAAAGCGGCCCTTCCAGGTCACATGCCCGAGGCCTCTGCAGACAGGACACAGCTGCCTCTAATCTGCTGCCTAACATTAGCCGCGGTTCAAAAAACCTGACAGCTCTGAGCTTCCCAAGGCTCCACAGAGGAAGCTAGAAAGATCTGGGGTCCGGGCACTATGTTCTCCGAGGAACTGTGGCTGGAAAATGAGAAAAAGTGTGCTGTGGTTCGCAAGCCTAAGCAAGGCAGGAAACGCCAGGAGCTTCTGGCCGTGGCCTTGGGGGTGAAGGTGGGAGTCAAAGGCAGCTTTCTTTGGCCCCCTCTCAAACTTTTTGCCTGTCCACAGATCTCCTCCCTGGTCCGAAGGGCCGCCCTCTCACACAACGACAACCACTTCAACTATGAGAAGACACACAACTTTAAGGTAAGGGAGCCTCTGCTTTCTTTCTTCTGTTATAAAAGGGCAGGTAGAGAGCTCCAGTTTATGCTTTCCACCTGGTCTTTGATGGTAAAGTAACGAGACGGCAAACTCCTCTGCTTTCCACATTTAGTTACTTGCTTTGAATCAAATCAAATGGGAGATTTCAGAAAGCAGTTTTGCTCAATGCTGATGCTTAGAAACACCTATATGTATGTTAACTTAGCTCCGGAGAACTGGGCCCATTTCCTCCTCACATTCCCACGTCCAATGAAAGAAAAACAGAGCATGCCCAGTCTTTGGCATTTAGAGCTCATCTGGTGAATATCAAGCAGTACTTTTCCGCTGGGAGTAGCAGTAAAGAATATTGTTATCTCTGAGCAAGCGAAAACAGTTGCCCATTTCACATTGTGTGTTTTGTCTTTTGTTTTCGGGGATGCTAGCTCTTTTGGTTTATGTGTAGACAGCTGAAGCAAATGACGACAGGAGATACCATCCAGTAGCTTTTGTCTGTGCTCTGGGTGCAGGGGGCACCCTGGCAGCCTTACCAATCTCCTTCTGGTCACAGCCTTGGTCCTGCTCACCAGCCCAAACAAAAAGATACGGAGAGCTGGTGGTGGTTTAAGTGGATTTTCCCATGTGAATTTATAAACTGGAAATACTGCTATTGTCATTTCAGACTAGCAGTTGTAGAAACGGCCTGCCGTCAGAAAATTATGCCTCTTTCCTTTGCCCCGATGTGTTTTCCAAGAAGCTCTGGGAGGAGATTCTGATGCCAAATTGCCTGGCTTGAGATGCCATTGAGTGCAGGAGAGACAGGACAGCGCTAGAGGTTTTACCCCAGCAAATGGGCTGACAGTCTGGAAGCTGGAGAGAGCGGAGATGAGGGATCCAGGAAGAAAAGAAGAGACAGGGGCAGCTAAATGTAAACTGTATTCTCTTTTAAAAACTCGTTTCCCTTAGGGCCGGTAGCCCGAGTAACAACTGGAACTAGATAACCCTTTGTCAGAAGTGACCGGGGAGACCTAGTTTTTTCTGTTGCTTTCCTATCCTTCCTACAGACAGATGTGTGTCTATTAAATATACATTTGTGTTAGTTTGGTCTGTTTGCCCTGCTTCTGTTTTTAGAAAGCAAGCAGCTCAGGCATTTGCATGCTATAATTGACCTGAGGCGTGGAATTTATTCAGCTCTCCATATTTAGCATGAGGGTGCAGAATTGCATTAGATAGGTCTTCATCCATGCCAAGGCTTTCGCTATGTCTCTCATCACTGAATAGTGACAGGTCTAATTTGGGGCATCACTGAGTAGAGACGGGTCTAATTTATGTTTTTTTCTCTTTCCTCTCTTTACCCTAATTTTTTTTTTTTTTTGTATTGTTCTGACTTCTGGCAGAAATCCCTGACTTTTTGCGTCCTATAGATGCGCTACCATGAATGGTAGGAGGGATCTTGGCCTTGCAAATTTTTTTTCCTTCCTCTTGAAAATTCTGATTCTTTTGGCTTTGAGGTACAACTGGAATTGTGCCCTACGCAGTTATGTGTTTACACGGGCTAGCTTCTCTCTGTAGATACTCTGTCTGAGTTGGTGTGAAAAATACCCAAGTGTATTTAGTTGACTGATAGTTTCAAAACTAATTTCAGTCCTTTTAAATCTTAGATCTCTGCATGGGACATAAACACATTTAAAACAAAACGTTAGTTGAATCTTATTTTCTTAAATAGTTCTGTTGCTAACATGAACTATATTAATTATTTATCACTAAAAAACACCAACAGCTTTTTAAATGTTTGCTTTAAAAGTCAGTATCTATTAACTATATCTATTAACAATATCTCTTCTAACTTACTGCTATTAAAAGAAGAAAAGGCAGAGAACAGGTCGTTAGAGGGGAATAGACAAGCCAGACAGGAGCGTTTCTCTTCCGTGTTTTAAATAGACATCTTTGAGACATAACAGACCCTTGAGTCGCTGTGTCAGTTGACTGTGGCTTTCAATGGTACTGCTCGTGCCACTGTCCTTAAGAATGAGTGGCTGAGGCAGGAGGAGGGATGGCTCTTTCTGTCACTCCTTTCCCCATCCCCGCCTCATTCAGCCCTCTCCTCACCCCCCAACCAACTTTAAGTGGAAACTCTGCATGGTCTATAGAAGAACATTCTAAAAGCAGGTCCCTGCTATAAATAGAGCAGTGGGGTTTTAGTAACATGCCACTGACCTAACAGAAGAAAGAAAGGTCTTATCAAAGGCCCCTGACATCTGCTTGGAATCTGTTTTATATCTTAAATTTGCAGTAAGTTTTTATTTATATTAACTTCTAGTAGGCTTTGTTCTGAAACTTTCTTGATTTGTAATTTGGGTTATTATTGGAGGGTATTATGTGTCTGGCATAGAGAAAGTGTTTAAAAAGAACAAATAATCACATTTTCATGCTTATCAACAGATGAGCCTTGCAAGGCTCTGTCTGCACTCTCGCCTAGAGGCCTCCTACCAGAGAGTCAATCTGCCAGCAGATCTTGATGCCTCACTTCAGAACAGGATTTTCTGCCCCAGTCAGGACTATTCCCCGGGTAAAAAGCCCTCTCCTCACTCTCCCCAGGAGCTTCATCACAAGCAATGAATAGATAACCTATAATGAAAAGGATCTGAAAAAGAATACATACATATATATATACACACATATATATATAAAATATAACCGAATCACTTTGCTGTACACCTGAAACTAACACATCTTTGTGAATCAACTATACTTCAAATTAAAAAAAAAAATCCAATACTTACAATTTTAAAAAAGAGCAATGAATGGAAACCCCTGACACAGTACAGGTTGGAACCCCTCCCGCTGTGCTCTTTGAGAAGGCTTCCTGTCGCTGCTTCTGAGGGCATATCTACTGCCCTTGCTTTCCAAGCAAAGCGTGTCTAGGAAAAGCTGAAATTCAGCTCTGGAAACAAAAGGTTTCGGAAGCAAATTAAAGTTGCGCCTCGTTTCATGCAGTAATTATATACTTTTCAACACTGTATACAAATGCGATTGTTGCTGATTTAAATCCTAAATTCTCAGGATTACTTGTACATACTAGGAACTAAGAGTAGTTGTTGAAGGAATGATGACATTAGCAGACTCCTCTCTAGAATGAAAACTGTTTGATATATAGAAAAGCCGTTTTGTTATTGAACGTGTTTTATGTCCGCATCTCTGTTTATCCATGGGACTGAAAGAGGCACTCTCCCGTAGGTAGACTAGCTCTCTTTTTAGAGGATCTGCCCTAAGAACACCTTATGGCTGAGCTCTGAAACCCTCGAGAACTCTGCAGCCCCATCAGTCTGGATAACTGTCCTTCCTTCCCCACTTAGCACAGTGATGAGGTAGCTGTGGCCAGCTTGGTACTCCTGGCCACAAAGTGCTCTTTGGCAAGGACCTTAATTCTCTGAGCATCAGTTTCCTCATCTGTAAAATGGGAGTGCTGTAAGGTTTAAAGAATACATGTAAATCACTCAAGGTCACTGGCACCCAGTAAGGTTGGCTACTATTATTACTTTATTGTTCATCTTTTCGTGTCTCTCATTTTTCTTGAGTTTTGATGTTTAGCTTTCTCTGTCTCTGTATTTCTTATTTTCTACCTTCACTTCTTCCTGTCCTTTTTTTCTATCATCTCTTTCTTCTTCTCAGCACGATGTAATTAAAAAATGAAAGAACATTCCAGGCAGTGCAGAGGACATGAGTCAGAACTTGGAATTAGAAATGAGCCAAGGGTGAACAGGGTACAGGGAAGATACCATCCAGGAGAGAGAGTTGCTCACTGCACATCTGGAGAGTCAGCTGGGGCGGGGCGGGTGGCCACAGCCTGCTGACCCATTGGCACTCTGTGTGCTTAGCCCACTCACGCTCTCAGCCTTCCCAATCTGCATGTGTGTGTACATCACTCACTCCTTTTCCTGAATTCTCTCCCTCCACCCAGGTACTTCAGGGGCGCTCTTCTCTCCCTATATGCAATATGCACGGAGAGCAAAGGTCCAGAAAGTTCTAAACGTTAAAGAGCAGACCACCCGATCCCGACCTCACCTCACCCATCCCAATCCCTCCCCCAGCCCTCTCCCAGGCCTCCCCTGTCCATCTTCCCTTCAATCCTCTTCTATCCCCATCCATCCCTTTCCCAACCCTCTGCCAGCCTTACTTTCATCCATAGCATTGATCACCAGCTGACATTGTACACATGTATTTATGTGTTTGCCTTCCCCTTATCAGAAAGAAAGACCCTGCTGGGTGGGGGAAAAGGGGTGGAGATAGAGACTTTTGTCTGTTGTACTTCCTGCAGAAATCCCAGTGTCTCAATCAGGGCCTGGCCCAGAGCCGACTGTCAGTGAATATGTTGACAGGATGTGTAGTAGGTATCTCCTGACCCTGCCTACCTAAGCTTGCACTTTCCCTCCTCACTCCCCGTCCCACAGTTTGCCCTCATTCGGGGCTTGTTGTGCTCCAGTCCTTCCAGGTGGTGGGTAGCGGTCCTTGCCAGGGTCACCAACAGTGCTACCCGGTATCTTATATGCACGCAAGCGGGGGAGACACGTGCCCAGTTTACTCCTATTGTCCCAGCTTCCTGTGTGGTGACTCTCAAAAGTGGCCTTGACTGGGCTTAAGTTAAACGGTTGCCAACTTGCCCTTTTACGTCCCCCCCCGCCTCCATAGACGAGGCTGCACCGGCAGAATCCTTTTCCTGCGGTACACTGTGTGTACGTGTGTGCTCGTGCAGCACCTCCCACCCCTAAGATTCTGGGGGCCAGGACAAGAAGTCCAGGAGGCTGAGGCTGTGTGGCAGGGTGTGGCAGCACCACGACCTCCCAGTTTGGGTTTTGTGGCTCCTTGACCGTTTCTGTGCCTATCATCAGCTTCTGCATTCTTATCAATCTGGTGGTCATTTGCTTTGCAACAAGCCATGTTTGCTTCCCACGTGCAAACCCCTTGCTTTTCCTCATCTTTGTTGGCCTCATAAAATGTGCCAGCACTTC